ATTTGCGGCAACACATCTCCGCACTTGAAAAAAGGGCGTTGGCAACTGACAACCGCTTAGCAGATAGATTACAAAGGCATGCCATAGGCGCATTCAAGCCGCGCCATTGAGCCGTCGGCGTTTGCGAACGGATCGCGCCGCTGCGCGTAGGTTGTCAGGCACCGCAGTGTTGGATATACCGAACGCTGTTACGGTTTCGCAGGCATTCGGACAAATTATTTGTGGCAACACATCTCCGCACTTGAAAAAAGGGCGTTGGCAACTGACAACCGCTTAGCAGATAGATTACAAAGGCATGCCATAGGCGCATTCAAGCCGCGCCATTGAGCCGTCGGCGTTTGCGAACGGATCGCGCCGCTGCGCGCAGGTTGTCAGGCACCGCAGTGTTGGATATACCGAACGGTGTTACGGTTTCGCAGGCATTCGGACAAATTATTTGCGGCAACACATCTCCGCACTTGAAAAAAGGGCGTTGGCAACTGACAACCGCTTAGCAGTGTGATGATCGCTACCGGAGGTACACTCTTAAAAAAAAAGGAGTAGTACTTCGTCCTTTTTGGGGACTAAGTCGATGTCACTGAGAGTGATCCCCCAAAAACGGCAAAACCCCGCTTTAGTACCTCCCTTTCTTTTAGTCCCTTTCCATTGATCCCTTCAGGTCCAAATTTTGAACCGTTAAAAGGAGCGATTTTGATCCCTACAGCAGGGCATCAGGGACTAAGTCTTGTCTCTTTACGGGATTAATTATGGTCCCTTGAGCGCCGTCGCGTCCATAATTGGAGGAGCACCTTTGATCCCTTTGGGGATGATTGGGGACTAACATTTTTGTGATTGGGGACTAAAATTCGTCCCTTTGGGGATTAATTTTGCCACGTAAAGGGATGACACTTATAGTTATGAGGGAGTAACTTTCGTCCTCTTGGGGATCAATTTTACAGTAATGGGGGACTAAATTTCGTCCCTTTGAGGATCAATTTTGACCCTATTAGAGACGAATTTTATAGTAATAAGGGAGTAACTTTCGTCCCTTTGTGGACTAATTTTGACACTTTTAGAGACGAATTTATTAGTAGCGATGCCCTTCAGCTGCGACCAGGAGTGAAAGGTTTGCAGTTTTGAACAGCTTCCTATTCAGAAAAGGTAGATTGTGCAACTTGGTATCTCGTCTGAAAAGTTGCACAAAGCGCCTTTTCAGAACAGAAAGGTAGTCAATACTGCAGACCTTTCACTCCCATGCACAGCTAAAAGGTGGAAATATTGCAGAGCATCTGAAAAGTCTCGCACCTTTATTTGGAAAAAGCAAGCCGCGTTGCCAAACAAGCAGCAAGCATCATGTCCAACAATAATCTAAATGGTAACGATGCCTGCAAAGACTGGATATGCTCGAACTCAGGCATGCTTTAACAGGCAACATCACCATTTTTACAAAAAAAAAAAGCCAGACCAGGAATCTGTAGACAAAAATTCACTTTCATTGTGGAAATATATTTATTTTATAACTACAAAACACTGAAAATAAAAACAATTGCACATCACAAGTATACAAAAGGAAATACTGCCATCTTGGCACTGAACCCTTTGTCAAGATTTAACACGACTAGCATATTGCAACGTTTAGCATGACTAGCAAAACTCGGTAAAAAAAACCATTTCAATGTCCGTTTTGTTCCTTGTGTAATGAAAAGGACTAAAATCAAATACCTTATTAAAAAAAAAAAGAAAAAAAAGCTCCCATTATAAAATGAGGCAGCAAAATGACTAGCATATTTATATATAAAAAAAACCTGGCATGGGTTTGTTACTTTGAGGAATATATGTGCTAAAGAGTGACCCAAAGTCCCCAGGCTCTATCTAAAATCGACTAAAAATCTATGCCCGCACATAGCACTGAACTTTTCGTCAAAGGTGCATTTCGCAAGTTGTTTTTCTTGTAAAACTACGAAGTGCAGCTCTCTCTGTAAAAACATAGGGTGAAGAAACTTAACAGGGTCTACAGCCGGCGGCGACGCAGACGACCAAGTCCAATGGCGGACAGTGTTTGGCGCTCGTATTGCTAGATGGCGTCGGGAGCAGCTTCAGAAGGTGCACCCGTTCAGCTGAAGAAAGCAGACGAAATCTGTTGGCAGCAAAAGCGCCGACGTATCTTTTTACTTGTAAGTTTTGCTTTTATTGTTTGCATGTATTTTTCTTTAACCAAAGGAACATTTCAATAAGCAGTTGCGGTGAGGAGGTAGCGCCATCTACAAAACAATGCGAAACATACCCCGCTACTGGACTTTGTCGTTTGCCTTGTTGCCCGCCGTAGACCCTGTCAAGTTTCTTGGCTCCATTTTTTATAGAAAGAGCTACGCTTTGCAATTATACAAGAAAAAAAACAAAGCGCGAAATACACTTGACGAAAAAGTTTTGATTGCTACGTGAAGGAATCGATTTTTACGGTCCATTTTAGAGCCTGGCGACTAGGGTCACCCTATATTTATATAAAAAAAACCTGGCATAGGTTTTTGACCTTCAAGAATAGATGTGCTGAAGAAACTAAAAATAAAATGCATTCCTTCAATGCATTACACAAGCACAGAAAAACTTGTTTAGCAACATGTGAAAAAAAAAAAAGCCCCCCAAAAAAAGAAAGGAAAAAACCTTAGTTTTATGTTCTTTTTGAACTCAGGGCAGTGAGCAGCCTTGTGCCCATGCAGCCCAGCTTTGAGTGTTTCAGACCTGCAAGTCTTTCGAAACAAACAAATGTACGACGACACTTAACGAAGTACTGAAGGTCAAAAACCCATGCCAGGCAAAAACAAAGTGCTACAGCTTCCAGAGGGCCCTCTGCCTCATAGGCCTGGTTTTCAAAAAGCACACTGCAGCGCTCTGTTGATGTCGTGGGGCACACTGCGATGGGATAGACTGCGGGGCAAGTCTGAAACAAAGATTCAAAATAAAGACAAATTGTATAAAGTCAGTTTTTCTTGTTTTCACCATTGTTTTGCTGATTTTCTTTGTTGCCAGCTACAGTGGCGACCCAAAATATGGACAGTATCAACCCAACCCCCCCCCCCCCCCCCCCGAGTATCAACTACTAGGCGGTGTGCCACCCCTCTTCTGGCCACAGCACCCTAAAGTTTGACTTTTACAAGTAGAAGTTCGGTTCAGTGTCTCAAATGTCACCGAAGGCAACGTGTTTGTGCCATCTGGTTGCCGCCCTTCCGAATGAGGTAGCGTTCAAAGTTTACGGCATTCTTTAGAATCCGCCTTCGGCCACTGTATGAAGCACTTAAAGCTTCCATCCTTGAAGGAATGACGGTCTCAGAAGGCAAGCATTGCAGCAGCTGCATCCAGCAGATCAGCAACGTCAAAACCAATGTATTCCATTTTGCACATGGTGGCTGGCGTTTGGCACACGCTCTTCGTACTAACTGATCGCCGCTTCCACAAAGGCAACCAGCACCCGTGAAATATTTCTGCTTTTGCTGAAAATGATGTTATGCTCTATATGTAGAAATACTTCACTGAAGCTTCATATATTGTCCCCCTTCAACTAAGAACTGAACAAAGCATGAATCTAGTCAAACCCGCTAGGAACTTAAAAAAAGAAATTTTACTGTGAGATTTAGCTTGTGAAGAGCCCAGAAAAAGCTGTTTGTTATGAAATGGCAGCTACCACTGAAAACAACCAAGAGGTTCTATTCAGAAATGACAGCTGACATCTCTTGTAAGTGGCTAAAAGAATATATGACAGGTCATTAGACCAGTGAGACTTGATCTAAAATAGGCCTGAAAAATTAGCCCCTACATGTAACAACTAAGTTTCAACATTCACTAAAGATGTTTTACTGCCGAATGTCCGACCGATGCAGGCGATAGAGATAACCGAGGGTGATGTTTGTGGTGCGATCTCCCGATAGGCACACCAAGCAGACAATAGCACTCGCTGGATTTACTCTCATAATGACTGCACCCAGGGGCAGGTGCAGGAATTTCCTGAGTGGGGGGGGTCAGGTGTTGGTCAGCGTACCATATGTTTAGGAACCCTCTTCCTCTCTCCTTGTTTCACGCCCTAAATTTTACACATTCAGAAATCAAGAGGGAAGTCAGGACATTCGAACCCCCCCCCCCCCTCAAAATCCGCCCCTGACTGCACCCCCAACAGGCATCAATATATGGACTTATTTTTAGTTTTGAACTGCGTCCAACTTAGCCGGCTAGCCACCAAGACAGCCGAAATCATGGCAGTCTTGTTGCCTACAAATTTTTTTTAGTCATGCTGTATATAGTCTAAAATGACGAAAATGTCTAAACTTACTTCGCATGTGATGAAGGAATTGTGCGTTTCTTTCAGCAGGAGTGGAAACAAACAGAAGAAGATCAGACAGTTCAGTTCTGAAAAATAATAATGGCAAAGTTAGCTATTTCAGGCAACTAACACTTCCAACTTGCATCCCCCAAATTTTTAATATTTATCAGTGGTCAACCCGAACTTTCTTTTTTCCTTTTTGAATGAGGAAAGTTCATTCGTTGATATTCTCACACCAACACCCACCACCTAGTCATGCCACTGTAGTAAATTGCAGCGTAATACACCGAGACCGATCTTTGTGGACCGCTTGAAGTGGGTTGCATGAAAAAAACTTTAGATGCTCAAGTTACTGCGAACTTGTGAGAATGGCAAAGTATCAGTTTCAAAAGCCCAGTCTCCAATACGCTATCTATGCCTTCTGGCGCGCTTTGGCGACACATGAACGCGCATGGTGCATGAAATGCCCAGATGTTATCAAAGCTAGGAAGTTCACGCTGGAGGCGGGACGACTGAAACTGCTATTTTGTTTCCTCATATGCACACACTTAATGAACACATTAATCACCCATGCTAGTAATATTTTTTGAAACTAATCCATTCAATTATGCTCAGTGCCAAGTGTCACGGCAATGCAACAAAATAGGAAGGCTGTATATAAGCATCACATCAGTAATGCAAATTTATGTTTTCTTTTAACTACAGCCATTCACCAATCTTTTTTAAAGGCACAGATCACCAGACGGTCACTCACAATTTAAAATTAATGTACAGCGGCAATTGGAATTTCAGATGCCATACAGCTCACTCCTAGATCTCAAATTTACATAGTTTGCACCCACCTATAACACGAACCGAGTCGGCACCAATTTGGTTGCCAAAGAAAGCTAGCTGGATTGGGACTTCCGCTAACAGTCAATGAAGGCTTAATTCTAAAGCAGGTATACCTTGTTTCCCGGATTCCTCAACAACATCCATCCGTTCAAGAGTCTTGTAAAAAATATCTGGCTTTGGCTTGTTCTCCGTTAGTTCAAGAACTGCTGTCAGGTTTTCGGAGGCCATCTCAAAGAAACGTTGCTTCAGATTGATGCTTGTGATCCGTTCAAACTCATAAAAAATCTGAAATAAAAAAAGTTTACCTTTAGTCAACCTATAAATCATAAACTACCCTGTAGAAAAGCAGGAGGCAAGTAAAAAAGATTCCCATTTTATTATGAAACGGAATCATAATTGCAAAGGTGTCAGTGAATTAAAGACTCGTGGTGCTTGCTTTTGCCATAGAGGTAGTGCCAGTTAAAGGCTATGGAATTGTTATCAGCTTTCTGAAAGTAATTAGTTCCAAGCACATTTCATTATGCTTATGATCACATTTAGCTTCGCCCGTGCTTCAACAAATGCTGATAATACTTCAAATAAACAAATACATAAAAACAAGTACGAAGTACCAAGATTCGCCACATAAACCAGACTAACGCAGAATGCGTACTGTTTTTGGTTGGCCAGTTTCGATCAGAGGCATCTTTGGCAAGTTAGGCTATTGTTGAAATTTGTTTGAGAATGAGACATGAAAATACAACACATACTGCACCACTCAACTTTATGCAAATTGTCCTTTTAGTGCACGATATGTTGCTTTTTACTTCATCTTCTGCATGGTCCTCTTTTCACCTTTTGTTACCTTTTCCGCCTTCCTACGCAGTTTCAAAGATTCCTAACCAGGCTTTCCAAGGCGTGACAGTGCTGTGATAAGACCCTGCAGCTCATTAACTACTGTGTCTAGGGATTACATACAATTGGTGCTACTTCTCTTTTTGGTGGCCACAAGAGTATTATAAAGATTGCAGTTTCCAAGACAGCAAATATTAAAAGTAAGGACACTGAAAATAAAGAACAAATTTCTTTGGGATAACATTATTCACTGCAATGGACGTTAGGCAGACAGCGTTAGCCAATAATCAGTAGACTACAGTAGTCAACTGATTTTTCGGACAAGTCCAATTATTCAGCTCACACCATAGAGTTAATGCGTACCATTGCCTCGATACTACGTCCTACGTAAAAAACAAGGTGGGTTCAGGTTATAGTCTGGTTTTCCGGTACCGCTACTGCCAACATTACCAGCCCCTGCCCATTTTTATAGTTCTCCTCAGGCGCCGCAAACATATATGCGACAGAGTACGACCGAGAGAGACCAGACCGGTTTTTAAGCCTCTTACGACGTCTTAGGACCGGATACGCTGCAGCAGAGCTGGTCCTAAGACTTCGCAAGAGGCGTAAAAACCGGTCCGATTTTTCCAGTCTTACTCTGTCGCAAGAATGAATGGGCCTTCATGGTCCAAGTTTTTTGAGTGTGAAAAGAGCGGCCGTCTGCCATTTTTGTGGTCTTGAGTGCAAAGGTATTTTGCCGATAGGCTCAGTATTGAAGCAAGCTTGGTGGACTAAACATTGTCTCCAAATAGTGCCAACTTCAACTTCCCCGTTTGTGCCAACGAAGGCGCCGACAAAGCGCATCACCTTGATCAAACAGATCAACAAACAAGGAAAAAGTGAATATAAAGCAAAAGTTGCAAGAGAGCTTATATTTGACATCAAGCAAGTGGAAAGTGGCTAATATGCGATGAAAAATGCGTGGAAATTTGACATTTTGGCTGAAATCCGATGTCTGCCCGCTTGATCCAGACAATTTTGGGGTCCCCCCAGAGTCAAAGAATGGTTGGCAATTGTTATTACCTAAAATCCGTTCACTATTCAAATATTTGTTTCAGCTGGTGCATTCTAATTAGAAATTTCTTGCTCGTCGACAAAGCATGCCTAGCAGATGTGAAAATTAAGAACACAAAATTCTTCCCTGCACTGTTCTTTGTCAAATTTAAGCTGTGAGCAAACAAGATACCGAAACAACATACAAAAACAGGCAGCGGCAGAGTTCAGCTCGGAAGCAACATCAGCCTTCGCAGCGGAAGCGGGTTGCTGAGCTGATAAGGGTCGCATGGCCATAGAAAAGGGGCACCCTACTCTAATGTCTCCTCTGTCACTCAGCTTTCTGTGCAAAGCAGAATTTAGATGTCAAATTTTAAGGATCACTATGGCATATTTTGACAACAGGCAACAGATTTTAACTGGAATCTGGTATGTGAGGTCACATTTGGGTGTTATAGCTTTTGAGCTCTCTGCTTTGCCTGGATTCAAAACTCACTCGGGTGAAGCAAAATATTTAAAACATTGATTAGCGGATTTTAGGTCCTTAATTTTCTCAATAAACTCCACGATGTCTGCTCTGGAGGATACTGTGTATACTCTAGTAATAGCTGCACTATTTATGAAGAAAACCTGAGGGTTCACTTTTCTGCAAAGCATGCAAATTGTCAATCACCACGATCGACAGCATGATTCCAGGTGTATACAGGACACAGATAATGTCTTCGCAAAGATACCATTTGTTTGGAGAATAGTGTTCTCGATCTTGTTAATCCCTGTTATTTATGTACACCGTAATGATTAGCTGTACATGTGTTCTGTGGGAAAGTAGATGCAAGGGCCTTCTTCATATACAGCGCGGCTATTACTCGAGTAAATACGGTAAAGTCGTCCCAAAAGAATCATCTCTCCATTTCCAGTGTCCTCTTTCCTTATTTGCTGTCTTAGGAAGAAACACCCACTTAATAGCTAGAACACTTCTCCTAGGCACTCGGACAGCACAGGGGCAGAGCATTAGACTACTGGGAGAGAGTTTGGTGGCTCGATTCCTGCAAAGGGACAAAGGAACTTTTGTAAAGAAACATGGCCATGTTATGTTTCCGTTACAACCCATCGTGATGCTTGAGACCTAGAAGCCAGCCCTAAATGCTTTGTACGTTATTAATTAAAAAGCAAGTAGACTTGATGGCACTAAGCGAAATATTACCTGCTGTTTGAGCTTAAGGGCCGGATAATCCTCCAAGATGTCAGAGATTGAGGCGGCCGAGATGACAAGCTCTCTCCTTGCTTGGAATGTCCTTCCCATGGCGTCGTTTACAATTTCCTTGTCAGGGACCTGTTTCTTCAACTCTCTTTTCATGGTGTTCACGTGGCCAGCGACGCTATGTCGATCCTCTGACACGTCCAATGCTCCAAACTGTGCACACTTGCAAGCAACAAACAAACTTGTTCAGTAAATCTGCTCATCACCCCCCGTCAAATTTTCTTTCCACTTGGCCTTATGTTGCAGGCAAATTATTGGTTTGGAGCAGCCACTGACGATTTTGGAACAGATGCCAATATTTGTTAGCATATCATTCGGAAATAAGAAGTTATTGTATCTCTAAATTAGTTCATCTGTGGTAATGATTGATTGTTCCTCTTTGAAACAGGAGCATTTTACAAATTACGTTTGCTGATAACAGTAGATAGGATGCAAAAGTAACACTGAGCCTTTTTTTAAGAACTACGGCTCTGTTCAGAGTAGGTTCCATTTACAATGGGTACTTAAAAACTGTCAAAAAAATTATGTCCGCCTTGTCGATGAACTCTTTCTCAAACGATGCGCTTGCACCGCCTGTGGCAGCCTCTCCATGCCTCACTGGAACCCCTTTCTGGTGGTGCCTCGCACCCATGAGACAACCACTTTCAGCTTATCAATGAGCCCAAAATGATGTCTTCACAGGGTTTTGTTCATACCGCCTAACAGGTGATAACCACTGACGGCACAGTCAGGCCATAACCATGCACGACTTAACATTGAATGGTCGTACATTTTGTCCAAAGATGGCCACACCCCATTGCCAGTCTAGCATGGCATCGTGTGCATTCTTGTCAAGCCGGAATCGGCTGGCATATAATCGGGTTTGGCCATCTTTCTGACATGTAGTACAACCAGCTGGACATTTGGTCGTGCATTGCTATGGCCTGACCGTGCAGCCAGGAGCTACGACCCTTTCGGTGGCATAAAAAGCCTGTGAGGATGCCATATCCTGAACATTGATAAGCCGGAAGCAATTGTCCAGGCTTAAATGGGAGGCACAAAAAAAGAAAACTTTCCAGCACGGCATGGAAAGGCTGCCACAGGTGGCACTAGGGCATTCAGCTTAAAGGGGTCCTAAAACGCTTTTCAAGCTTACTTTTTCCTGTTTAGCTTTCCTCAACTCATAAATCGTGCAGTCTACCAAACTGTTCAAGACTAAAAGAGGGGAGTCCCCTCTAGCTCGGAATCTCGTTTGTATAGCTGGACAGAGCCATTCTCCCCCTAGAAGATTAGCCCAGCGCTAAAAATTCAGACAAAAGTTGCATTCCCCACCGCATTCACCCCAAAGTTGACAGTGTTGTGGAAGCTATGTGCTCGTTGGGCCAGGCACACTTGCCACGTGATCACGCTCTCTCGCACAGAGAATGAGGTCTGGTGATGAAAGGGAGGCGGCTGATTGGTCGGGCAAGCGCATAGCTTCCACTGCAATGTCAGCTTAGTGGTGAAGGGAATAAGTAAGGTCCGGTATCGGTTGACATGCGTTTGGACCCGGTGACACGCTATGGTAACCGCGGATGTAGCACAGTGAAAAAGGCAGAAAGCTTACGAAGGTACGAAATAGTCCGCTGTGTTTTCAAATTTTCTCACAGGAAGTCAGGCTTTTGACTTTCTACCTTTTTTTCTTTTGACCCACTGAACGATGTGCTATTAGTAAAATCCCAATCTAGAGTGATTTATACCAGCCGAAAATAAATATTTGAATTGGTCGCATTTAACCTTAAAATAAAGTGTCATGGAAAATTTTCATTGAATGTGTGCAATGCCACACAGAAGCTCAGAATTATTGTGAATATGAATAAGTATGAGGCATCTGTGTTTAGATTCCTATGTCACAGGGCAGAGAATGGACAAGAATTATGTGCGTCCCGCTACACACTTAGTGCGAACAAGCCATCACCTGTTTTCATTGTATTCTTAGTATTGTAGTCTCAGTAGAAACACTAAGCTACTATAAAATACCGGGCAAGCACCCACTCAAACTTTGGAGATAATCGCAAAGAAATAGGGGATGAGCCGTATGTACCGTGCTTATTTTTGAGATTTTACAAATTTGGGAGTGGGCGCTTAGTGTGGAATGGGCGGACACTCGGTATTCTATGGCAAGCCGTAAATTTTGATACCAGGCAGTACACCTTCCAAGTAAAATGCGAAAAACCGCCGAAGTTGTGTTCGCACTAACAGTGTCGCAAGGTGTACAAAATTTAAGAACCCTCCCCCCACATACCACCGGTGTCCTGTAGCAACGGCGAGGGTCGGAAACATCAGCCACAGCTGTAGTCCCCTTGGAGCTCGTTGCTCCGTTGTTGGGAAGAATCCCAAGTCCTTGCAGCTTCCGCCGCTCATACTTCGCTTTAAAACGAAGTGAACGGTGCCAGGAGTCCTAGAATGTTCAGGATCATTACTGAGCACTAAGAGATATTCACATGTCATGAAAAACACTTACATATCCTGTACCAATGCTGTCCCGAAGGTCGGGATGCTTGAGGATGAGCTGCCGTGCTGCCTCAGCGTAGAGCCTTCCAGGATAACTGAAAAGTTTCACATAAAATTCTCAGTGCCATAACCTTGATGTATGTCTCGGAGTTAACTTACAGACTGTACTCGCATAAAAGGTGATATATCCATTGGATTATTCTTTTTCTGAGTGTATTTGTCAGGCAGGCCTTGTCTTTCTGGGCTTTCAATGAAAGAACAATGTCTAATGGGAAGTCTGGAAGGACAAACTCCAACTCCGACCGCACAGTTTGCACCCCTTCTGTGCCATTGTTTGAAACCACAACACTAGATGGTCTGAAACAGAAAAAGACCTATGAACATCTGCAAACTCTGGTCATTGTAATTTATCAGCACTGTTAAAATCAAAGAACATAAGCTTACTCTGCTTCAATCCCAGGGGGATTTCTCTTTTGAACCAACAGGATTTTTCCTTTATCTTCTAGAACTGCTCCGCAGTCGTAGTCCACATAGGCTTCGAAGTCCTTGTCAAACACCTGATGGCGAGAGTACACAGAGGATGTAGTAAACATTGCTATCCAGTTATAAACATAGTCGTGAAGGGGGGCGGAGGTAAATTAAAGAAATAAAAGTGCAAGAGCTCTTTCATGAGCAGGAAATGGTTATGTGGGCTGTCATCAAGACATTGTTTGCCTAAGGTGGGCTGCTTCAGACGGGGTTTCCAGCAATTTCGAGGTTGCTGGTGGGTTGCTCCCTAGCTTCCCCTATATCTACACGCGAGCAGCCCTGTCAACTCCGAGACTTTTGAAGTGGCAGCAGCCGCTTCAAACGTCAAACAAAAAATCTTTTATTAATGTAGATGCATAGCTGAAAGTCTGCCATGCATTATAAAGCTGTTTATATTTTCACAAAAGTCACGTGAAAATCCCCGTAAGGGGAAGTATGTTGACAAAAAACATGAAGATGAGAAAATCGAAGTTTTGACATTGAACATAGAAAATTGTGTGGAGAATGAAAAACAGTAATTTTCGTGATGGTGTTGTGTAATTCTTCCTGAACAACTCGACATAAAAAATGTAATCCATTGATGGCATGGGCGAAGTTGTCGAACACGAACTTGATCCAGTTGCTTCTATCAGCGGTAGAGCGAGTTGCGGCATCGGCGAAGGCTTTCGTCGATGCGGCACGTCTCCTCGTAGTGTTTAGCCTCTGCGTGTTGACTTTCAAACCGGCGTCCCCAGCCATCGAAACTCAAAGCGCGCAGAACTAAACAAGCAGGAAAGCAAATATACGCGAAAAAGGAAAGCTAAACAAAGAGGAGGTATCAAAATATTTACACGAAGGACGCAAAGACAGGGAACATACGAAACACTAGGAAGCAGAAAGAAAACCCTAAAATTATCGATATAGAAAGCTGAGAAATGCGAATATAACATGTCTCGAACGGCGAAGCGAGCGAAAGCAGACGACGCGGGAGCCCGCGGAGCGGCTGGGACGCCGCGCCGGGGAAGCCAGGAGAGGGGGCGCGCGTCTCGGTCAATGAGAGAGCTGCGCCTCGGAGGAGCGCGCGCTTTGCCCAATCAGCGCATTTCCAGCCCTCGGGAAAGATAAGCGCGGGAAACTAGCTTCCGAACAAGACTAAAATGGAGGTCAGACGCTTGAACTTCCAGCCCTCGGGAAAGATAAGCGCGGGAAACTAGCTTCCGAACAAGACTAAAATGGAGGTCAGACGCTTGAACTTTGTCGACATTTCAGAGTTTAGGCTACAAGTCGGGTCCGTCAACGCTTACAAATTGTCACTTTTTCTATTTAGAGACCGAATTGAGCATTTATATTTTGTGAGGATATACTCTTGAACTATATAGACCAATCGTACATTTTGAAAAATTGAATTTTTCGCGATCTTTTTTTATATGTTGATTTGCGTCTCACACTCCCCCGTGATACTCGCACCCTCCGAAAAGGGTGACCCGACGCGCAATACAGCATCTCGACGCAAAAGGTTACAAGGGGCGCACGAAAACACACCGACACTTCTGCGTTCGCATACCAAGATGTTTAAAAAAACAAGTCATCCAAATTTTATGTCTAAAATATAAAAGCAGAGCAATTGCCAACTTACCTGAATCAATGTAGAGTTAATGTCAACATCCGGAAACTTTTCACGTATTGCTTGCCTCAGTTCACTCTCGGCACACTTCTCTTGCAGGTCGATTACTCGATTATGTTCTTCGAACGCAACGAGTAGGCGCATACTTCCTCCTAAACAGGCGTTGGGACCTCTCGAAAAAGCTGCCCGCTCCTCGGCTGTGGCAACAACGACGGCGACAACGATGGCGACAACACAACACAACAACGGATACCGACTTTCCCGCCCACCGTGTTCCCGCCTTTTTCGCTTCCTGCGGTTCTCCAGTTTCTCGAAGGACGCGACAACGACGGCGACAACGATGGCGACAACACAACACAACAACGGATACCGACTTTCCCGCCCACCGTGTTCCCGCCTTTTTCGCTTCCTGCGGTTCTCCAGTTTCTCGATGATCATGACGCGGACCACGCGGCTGCCGCGGCGCAGTGGCAATGGCGTCCTCGCTTTTTCGAACATTGAGGGACGTTAGGTGGAAAGAGAGGGCCAATTGCGTACGCGCACGTAGACCCTAGCAACAGCGCTCACGCCGGATTGGCTGACGCTGACGCCGTCTACAGGTCTACATAGGCAGCCGTTTGAACGCAGCAACGCAGCGTCTTAATCTTTTTTTTTTTTTTAGCATTTGGCGATATTTACATTTCTTTTTTACGACTAACATTGAAAGAAATGAATGTTGACGATGAAACTGCGCTGAACTAAATGGTATGGACACCTCGCCGACCTCTTCTAGATGGATATATAATAATGGCTATACCCTTTGTAACGGGCGGCAGCTTGCGCCACCTAGCCTAACTTGCGCCGTTGTCTGATTTATTCCCATTTTACCGAGCGCGCTACGAAGTGCTGTATCAAAGCAAATTAATCGTTTTAGAGGCTTTCTTGCGTGTCTTGTCTCGAGAAGGCGTACGCTAACTACAAGCACTAAATCGCCTTAAACTGGTGGTAATATTGTGTGCCCCGCGCCCCGCTTCATGTGTATTGTGTACGTTCCAGGTTTGCGTTCGCGTGCGGGGCTGTATTTCATCTGTCGTTGTTTACTCTGAAAGTTCTTTCGTGTAAGCAGCTGCCATGCCTGTAATATACTGCCCCCTCTGCCCCTTCTATGATGTGAAGTTTGTACGAGTTGTGAATCACGTAGGTCAGGTCCATGCAAGTGCACACAATTTCAAAGTGACCTGTGGTTTGGACAACTGCGTGAAAGTATTCAGCTGCTTCCAGACCTATAGGAGGCACCTTTACCGGAACCACAACATGCTCGACACCGAGTTCAGCTCGGATGACGCAGCCCAGTCAACACCAAGTGCCAGTGCTTCAGCTACAAACTTTGATGAGGGCACCGAGCCTATTACACAGCCTTGTGACAGCGCAAAGCTCGAGAAAGAGACGCGGCCATTTTTGGAGGTGAAAAGGACATTATTGCTTTTCCATCTCAAGATGACTGAAGGCCTGAAGCTGCCTTATAGTACAGCAGATACTATTTTTGGAATGGTTAAGCTGTTGCTTTCTGCAACCCTCAAGGAGTTTGCAGAGGAGGTCAACAAGAAGCTGGCGACTCTCAAGGCTGATCTGCCATGCTCTGACATCAACACACTGCTTCAAACAGAAGGCCTAGTGGATGTTCTGTTTTCTGGAATGCAAACCAAACACCAGCGAACAAACCTTGTCAAAAAAAGCCTTCCGTACACCGAAGCAAGAGAAATTCAACTGCAGCAAGGCGGGGCTCCAAAAAGATCTTTTCAATATGTGCCCATTCAAGACGTACTCCAAAATCTGCTCACCTGTGACGACATCTACGAAAGTGTGGAACAACCTCCTAGCCAAAGAGAGGACGGCATGTTGAATGATTTCAGCGATGCCAACTTCATCCGAGAGCAGCAGAAAAAGGTACAACTTGCTGGAGACCAGCAAAGCACCATTTTTCTTCTTCTTTACACCGATGAACTGGAACTGAACAATCCACTGGGATCTGCAGTAGGTAAACACAAAATTCTCCTTGTCTACTTCAGCATCCTGAACATACACCCACGGCACCGTTCCAAGCTGAGCTCTATACATCTGCTCATTATTGCCCGATACTCGACGGTCACGGATTTTGGGTTGAAGGTCCTCTTGGAGCCGCTCATTAAGGATCTCAACATCTTGAGGACACACGGGTTTAGAATGCACAACAAAGCATTTAAAGTATGCGTCGTTGCAGTGGTTGGCGACAACCTTTCACTTCATCGTCTGGCTGGCTTAACGTGCTCCTTCAGTGGCGGGCGTGTGTCCCGCTTCTGCTTAGCAAAGTATGAAGATTTACGCGATCTTGTCCTTCCTACCCAATGTGTAGCAAGGTCGGGTGCATCTCATGCCAGTCACCTGGCTGCATTTCTCCTGGATCCTGCACGCAATGGTAAGATCTACGGCATCACAGGTCCGTCCCCACTTGCGTCTTTGGAGGGGTTTGACATCATGAATCAACTACCCCCAGATGCCATGCATGATGTCCTGGAAGGTGGGATTGCAGTTGTGGTCAAGGCCGTACTGAAGGGTCTCGTAGATTCAAAGGTTATCAAGAAAGACGACTTGAATCGCATTGCTCAGTTTTCCTACGGACAACATGACAAGAAGTCGAAGCCTGTGTTTGATCCCGACAAGTTTTTGGCTCCATCTGGCAACTTGAAGGGGACCGCTTCCCAGAAATTGTGCCTTTTTCGACTGTTGCCTCAGATTCTTGGAGACTTGATTCCACAGAATGATAGCAACTGGAATGTGTACACAGCGTATCGGCACATTGTGGACATAATTCTCTCGGATACAATGCCAAGGGACTGTGCTGCATACCTCGAAGTAAAGGTCTCGGAGTTTCTCCGCCTCTTCACAGAGCAGTATCCAGACAAATCCGTGACCCCAAAGCTACACTACCTCCTACACTACCCCAAGTATATCTTGGAATTTGGACCACCCCGCAGATACTGGGGAATGAGGTTTGAAGCCAAACATTCTTATTTTAAAGGACTGGCATCAAAAGTAAAAAACCACAAGAACATCTGCAAGACCTTGTGTCAGAGGCACCAACTCCTGCAGGCGTACCAGATATCTTCTGCTACACTGAGTCAGCCTATTGATGTGTCTGGAGTGGCCGTCGTGAAAACCGCATCACTTCCTGAGGAATTTGTGGTTTTGCTTCCCCAAGGTTTGAGAGAATTGGATTCTCTGAGCTCTGTCAAGACAGCTGCTTTCAACAACTGCAGCTACAGGGTTGGCGATGCATTTGTTCACTCAGTCGATGATGGCAACCCTAGTTTTGCGGAAGTGCATGGTCTTTTCGTTGCCAGTGGAACGTTGATCATAATGGCAAAAAAGCTCGCCACTGTTGAAGTTTCAAAACACAGATGTTCCTACATCGTCCTGCGTCGTGATGATGCAATGTGTGTAATACCGAACTTCCAATTTGACTATTATCCACTGGACCTTTACCCATACGGCAGTTTTCTCGAGGTTGTGCCTCATTACGAGATATTTGTGTAATCGGGATGTGGACTGCATGTGAAATGGTTGTGTTAAATACATTTGCATATTGTTTTTTTCTATCCTTTTTGTGAAATATATTTATGCTTGAAAACATTTTGCATTTCCTCTTAACATTTATTAAAAAAATGACAAAGGAGAAATTTATAGAATTTAAAGTGAAGTCAATGGATGTTATTAAAAGAAAATAGGGAAATGAAGAATAAATAGTACTGTATTAAAAATAAGGTGTGAACAAAAATGATCTCTCTTAAGTCGTCTGCCTCAGCTACCTACCTTCTCTACCAAAAACAAAACAAAAAAAGCTCTACCATACAATACGATAGTTGCAGCACTTGACATGCACATAGATTTAAAGAGCGGTCTGAAGGTCCTAATTGTATAAAGAAGTGCAAACCAATTAGATATTGGGTGTTTATATTTTAAAGTAACTGAGACTGCAAAATGCTCCAGCTAAGTAATGGTAAATAATCTAATGAACCTCTAGGATCTTGAACCTCCACAGAAGTCTCACTGATTGGACAGATCTTTCAAGAGGTTCTTTCTTAAAATATTCCATCTTGTGCCTCCACTTTATGGAGACAATTTGGTCAACGCAGTGTAACAGCGAACTGCTAGTTCTGTTGGCAATGAGTTTTACGAATGACATTTCACGAACAGATTGTTTCGTCAACATGCGACGTTTTATCAACACGTTTCGTCGAAAGATGCCCTGGCATGCTTTATGACACATTCTGTGACGTTCCGTGCACATCGCATTGGCTGTCAGTACACTGATCGTAGCGTAGCTTGCCGAACCCTGGGCGGTTCTGATTGGGCTAGGCACAAGCTTGAGCCTGAAATTGTAATTCGTTTGCCCCAAGTGAAGTAGAGCAAAACAAAGATGCCCTGGCATTAATCCCCCCTCTAAAAACTCATCGTCCTGATGTGCTCTAGAGCAAAATGAAGAAACTGAATTGCAGACTACACACATCTGTAAAACACAGTCCTAACAAGCGTAGCGTGGGCACACAGTTCAGAGTCCTATCAAATGTAGTATGGCTTGAGGCATACGACACGGACTACTTTGGGTCACGGGTGGCGCCGTCTTGATGGTCGAGTTCCGTCGGGAAGCACCTCATTGGTTTAAAGGGATGCTGAACCGGAATCTGGATTCCACAAAGCATGGCGGCAAAAGCGTGCAACGGGATGCTACAAACATCAAAACATGGCAAGCGGATTAGGAGAGAAAACACTGTAAAATATCTCGGTGTCATTATCAACAACAGAGTAAACTGGCAACCTGCTGTAAAAAAAGTCTTATCAGAGTCTGAAAAGCTTCTCGGTGCAATCCAACGCATCGCCGGTCGTGACTGGGGAAGCAGTCAAAATACAATGCTGAGCCTTTATAGGGGACTTATTGTAAACCACTTCCTCTACGCTCTCCCTCTTCTGACAACATCAAACGCGCAATGGAAGAAGCTCGAACTCTTTCACAGGAAAGCTTTACGCATATGCTTGGGCCCCCTGCCTACCTACACTAATAGACCCTTTCAGAAATTCAGTGCCATCTGGTTGTTCGTAAAGCAGTTTAGGTTTTGCCCTATCAATGG